CTCTTTCCCCTTTAGAATCATATATAAATTTCCTGTAACGTGTTTCCAGACAAGTTGTTTCGTTTATACATATGCAACAGCACTAATATTTTTGTGGGTTTAATTTTTTGAAAGAATTTTATCCAAAAGTCCCATTCAATGCATATTTGCAATGAATTGGGTTAATTTGGTAGACTTTTCAGAAATACTTGGTATTGCATTCCATAGAAGATAAAATACATGTAAAAGCAGAAAATATATTTCAAAGTGCTCATAAAAATATTTTTGCAATTAAAAATAGACAGTTAAACAAAGTTTGAACCTTCAGGCAAAATATTGGAAAGGAAGTAAATATGAAATCTGTTCTTCTGTCATTACATGTTATAATTCTTACTTGCTAATCATAAAGAGAGGAATAGTTTCCCATGAGCTGGAAGGTAGTCTTCTGTTAATATGTTCTCATAAAATTGCTGTATAAGCTTGTGCAGTCACATCCCTTTTTTGTGATTTGGCTTCCCCTGTTTATACATTTGGCATGGCGCTTCCTTTTCATATCTGAGTTTTGAGAACTTAGCAATACTTGTAAAACCCTTTACATGGATGCTTCCTTGGCTGGAAAAGTGCTATATAATGCTGGAAAGTACTATATATTTAAACACCAACAGTACGAGTTGTGTTGGAGATGAAGACAAAGAGGAAAATTAAGTGTTTTCATTTAAGGAGCTTGCAGCTTAATTAGATATAGAATACAGTATATACTGAAATACTCATGCCACAGTTTATGACTGGTGCTACCACTGAGAAGAACTGTCCTGCCTGTCACCAGCAGTCTTTTCTCATCCCTTAAATGTCTCCTGTGTTGTTCCAGTGCAGATATATCTGAGGCCACATTGTGACCTGCATAACGGAATGGGTATAGCTAAAAACTCTTAGTCTTAGCCAAGATCATGCCCTAATCCGGTTAATTTTATAGATACACATGTTCTTGTGCCAGCCTCATGCAGGAGACAGAAATAAATGTCTGGGCATATAGAGAGGGCAGGATCACTTCTTTTTGCAGTGAGGCCAGTCCATGCCACGTTGAAGAGGGTGTACGCTGTTAGCAGATGATGTGAGTATAGAAAGGTCTCTTTATTCTAGATAGGACAGAAAATGCTGTCTGTACTTACAGCCTCCAGCTTTTGGGCACTTAAAAATGAAAACATGACAAGTGCATGCCTAAGTAAAAGACTATTTCAGAAGTTTCAGTTAAAACAATTGAGCAGTTCCTCAGACAGATACAGAAGAAAACTGCAGATTTGCCCATCTTTAAAGTATTTTTGCATTAATTTGCTGAGAAGGTCTAATTCCTATAGGCTTTAGAATGGAAATTTGATATTTAGCACTTGAGTAATCTTTGTCTTTAGCCAACCTATGAAAATTACAAATCAGGCCAAGCACTTGGCACTAGGCATCATGGCCCAGAACAGCCTTCTTGCCTTTCTCCTGCATTGTCATCCTCTGAATGACAAGGATAAATTTTGAAGGGAGTATGAAGCAGGAACTTGAGATGGGATTAGTGATAAGGATGGAGGGGTAGAAAGGAGAAATAGAATCTGGAAAAAGGAAGGAAATAATTCAGTAGGCAGGGTTGAGCAAAACTTCTCTTTTTTTTTTAATCTCTTTTTTTTTTTCTTTTTTCTGTTTGGCGATTGGCTGTGAACCACTTGGTTATGTGTGATTCTCCCTCATGCAGTAGTGGCATATTCATCGGGAAGATAGCAATTGCCTTTGACAGTCAATTACTCAGCAGTAAGAATAGTGCAAAAATCTCTATTCTAGTGATGGTTTGAGTCTGTGGTCACAAAATGCCTTTTTATTAGTAAACTCTTTATATGAAAACAACGTTTCAATTGAGAGGAGCATTAGAGAACATTCCAGTTGCAAAGTCAAGCCCATAAAAGTTAGGAAATGACAGGATTATTATTGCTTCTGATAACCTAATTCACTTAGATCATACGTTATGATCATCATCATTTATACGGTCATGAACAATTCCTGTGCAGAATATTTAGTTTTCCCATGTTGTTCCAGTGAAATGTACATATAAGTATAGATATTACATATTCAAACATGCAAACTACATATACTTCTGATTTGATACTGTATTATTCAGTTCTATTGCCTAAAGCCAGGCCCTGCTGCTCTAGACATTTTATAAAACTAAGGAAAACTGTTAGCTGTCCAAAAAGCTTTCATTTATTTTCCTGGTTTCTTGGTGCAGAGGAAGTAGAGCAAAAAGTGGCATTAAATCACCTTTTATGGTCACTGTTCTGAAATTATTCTTCAGTCTTTTCAGCCTGTAGCATGTGTTGGAGTAGCCTCAGCAAGCTCTGCTCTAGCCTAAATTGGCTGCCTATAGCCTTCACAGAGCTGGTCCAGAAGCTGAGATCAGTGGGGTGCAGGTCAGACCATCAAATCCAGCCCCCCTTTATGCATATATTTATTAACTGCCCATAAAACCTGGGGCATTTCTTTGGAATCAAACAGTGGCTGGGGTTTTGGTAAGGCCAGTTGTTAATTCTGAGGAAATGCCCTGAATTTTGCATTACCAAAAATAGGATTGTGGATTTTGTGCATGTGTGTTGTCATGTCAGCATGTTCAGATGCGCTGTACGCTGATCTGCTATGTCACTTCAGGTTTTGCAGTGTTCAGTTGAATTTAGAAGGTTCTGGGTGTAAATTTCTAAATGTCTGCCCCTCAAGAAGCAAATGCATGTGTCTTTTGTGTTAGGTCTCTTTCTGCAGGGTATTAGGCAAAACAGGTTTGAGTTTCAGCACACCAATAACTTTGCACCTGAGCCAGTTACCCAGTGCCATCAATGCAGTCTGTGGCAGTGAAAGCATCTTAACACATGTAATTCTCTAGAATGAGAATTTTCCTCTAAATTGTGAGAATTTTCATCTTAAATTTTTCCTTAGGTTGCAGAGTATTTTGTTTTAGCTTATATGACATCTCCTGCCTGCCTTCTTTTCCTTGTACTTGCAGAATGTATGATAGAGGAAAAGAAGTTCTTCCCAGCCTGGTTACACAGATCACTTCACAAGAGGCATGAAATGTCACTCATTTAATTCTTCACTTAACACTGAGGAATCTTTGGTGTTAAAGGATGAAATAAGACCAAAACTTGGCTCTCAGTGATCCCTGGTAGTTATGGAACCAAAACCTGGCACTGAAAATTCACTAAATATTGATCCTTTACAAAACATGACATCAGTGCTAACCTTGGGAATTAAGAGAAGAATAGCCTTCTCATTGAAGAAAGGCCTCATCAGCAGTAGAGACGGGGAGTAGAAACGGGAGCAGATTGCTTGTGTGTCATTCTTCTAATATGTTTAATATTTTATCCATAGTAGAGATTAGTGTCATTTTTCTTGCCTGGTGACTTAGTGTGAGTGCATGGCTGAGTCTGTTGTCCCTCCAAATTGATAGAACTTACTCACACACGTGAAAAGGCTGTACAGGTCAAAATGAAACCTTGCACACGTTACTATTTCATACTGGGGGAGTGTATATGTGCAGTTTGGCTCAGCACATGCATCTTAAGATCGTGATCTTGTAGATCTGGTGTGTGTGAAACCTTGACTGAAGTTGGTGAGAAGTTCAGGCTCCAGGTGGGGCCTTGAATATGTCAAGTTGCCAGGACAGCCTGCAGGTGATGAGAGGAAGGGGCTGGGGTGCTCCTCTACTCCTCTGTGGATGCTAAGCCATCTTTCTTTCATGCCTCTTTGTTGAAATATCAAAAATCCAAAGAAAACCAAACAGAAACACCACCACCCCCCCAAGCATGAGATGGGAGTAACAGGAAGAGAGAGAGAGAGGAAAAAGTGACAAAAATCAGACCTACCTTTTTGAGAAGTTAATGGCTGTAGAAAAAAATTCCTTCTGATGATGATGCAATAGTAACTAAACCTAGTTTTTTTAAGAGACACTGCCAGTAATGTTTTCAATTCTTTTTTTAAAAAGAATCCTTAGTTAAAAAATCTCTCTTGGTATTCCCTCATCCTGGCTCTCAGCCTATGTTTCACTTACAAGCACAACACATTTCCCTTCCAGTTTCATTTTTAAAGGTGACCTAAATATTTGACAATGTTTTAAAGTCACTCAATTGGGATTTCTTACATACTATTACTGGAAAGAGACAGCTTCGTCAGCGTTCCTGAAGCAGAGTTATGCTTAAATCCAGAAATGGGAAGGGTTAAGAAAGTGGGTAGCTCATCACTTCAGGGGGGAAAAAAAAAAACCAAAAAAACCCAGGGTAAAGGGGGAATCTTGAAGACAGTCTGTGAGGTAGCAGTTGTTAAGAGAAGCTGTGGTAACAAGTGTTTACTTTTGCCTTGGGAAGACAGAGGGAGTGTTTGGGAGGACAGATGTCAGTGTTTCTGACATCCTGCCTGGTTTTCCTGTTTCATGTCCTAAAAAGGGTTTGACCATTTGGAATCCCTTTAGACATAGTTTGTGCTGTAAATTTTGGATTCAACTAGGATGTAGATCTCAAAGGTCAAAGTTCACTTTTTGTCTTCTCTCTCTCTCTCTTTCTCTCACCCACACCCCCCTTCCCCTCAATTTTATAGGGCGATATCCATGAGGATTTTTGCAGTGTTTGCAGAAAAAGCGGGCAGTTGCTGATGTGTGACACATGTTCACGTGTTTATCACCTGGACTGTCTGGACCCGCCTCTGAAAACCATTCCCAAGGGCATGTGGATCTGTCCCAAATGTCAAGACCAGGTATTGTTTGACAGATAGGGACAGTTATACACAATGCACTGTAAAGATTTTTAAAAATAAAAAATTAAAATAACGGGATCACTTGGTTTACTTAAATCGAGACAGTCTGACACTGAAAAAATCTTTCTGATCTGTAGTAAGGCTTGCGTGAGTTTAATCAAATTACCTCTGTTGGGATGCGTGCAAATACAAAACTGTAAAGTCTTGCTCCCAGATTTGGGGTCCTTATTTGTTACCCTTGTTTTTACTCTTTTTCTTGCACAAATATTTGAGAAAGGTTTGCTATGACCCATAGAAATTTTCCTGTTCATCTTAAGCTCATTGTTTCTTCAAAAGTTATTAATATATTCTTCTGGACAAATAAATAAACCATTTGCACAAGCCTACCTCAGTAGGTAGAGCAAATATAAGCCCCTGTTTGCTCATATAAATCAAATATCAGAGAGGTTGTCTTCAGTGATCTCTTTAATAATGTCATCCAGTATCAGTATAACAAGGATAGGTGAACAGTTTGGTTCTTCTTCCTTCCAGATCCCTTTCTGAAAGTACACAATTGAAGTGAACAGATGATATGATAATATTTTGTTTATAATTGCATTGAGATTACAAGACAAAGAAGTAAACTATTGTATTCCTAACCCTTAGATGGAACTCCAGAAGTTGCAAAGGATTGCTGATAATCAGCAGCCTGAAGCTGTTAGCGTTCTGTCTGATTTAGCATATTGCTTGGTCGCCCATGTGACCTTTGGTTAGCCAGATGGTAACATAAGAAAACAGACTGTTCAGAATATGCTGTTCAGAAGAAAGAAAATGCAAAACTCAAATAACTTGGTCAGTAGTTGCAAGTGAGGAGGGGGTGTTACCACTTCCCTGCTCCTGCTCTTGCTTACTCTCACCTTATCCCTCCTCTTCATACTTCTATTATAGCTTCCCAGAAAATTAGGGGGAAAAAATCAGAATTATTTCACTGAAGAGTGACCGAGTCCTCCATCTTCTGAGATACCCCTCCTATTCAGTTACTAAAAAGACACAATACCTGTCTTTCCTCTCAAAATAAAGTTTGTTAGGAAGGAATATGTAGGGAGGATCTGAAAGACACAAATAGTGCTTACCCTCATAAAGAGGGTTTGACAACTCTGTTAAGATCATAGAATCTTTAAGGTTGGAAAAGACCTCTGAGATCATCAAGTCCAACCGTCAACCCAACACCACCACACCTACTAAACCATGTCCCAAAGTGTCACGTCTACATGTTTTTTGAACACCCCCAGGGATGGTGACTCCACCACATCTCTGGGCAGCCTGTTCCAATGCTTGATCACTCTTTCGGTGAAGAAATTTTTCCTAATATCCAGTCTAAACAGATGATTCTGCTAAGAAGGGGTGATAGGACGGTTTCGTGTTTTACTAGCCAGGAAGTGGGATGTTTGAATATATGGTATGGAGACTGCTCTGTGCCATGAAAAGTTTTCTCCCAGAACAACTAAGATCAGCAATTTGTCTGAACCATGAAATAATGTTTATATCTCCTGGCAAGTTTGAGTTGATATGTTATCCTTTCATTACTCTTTTAAGTTGTTCAGTTTCATTAGTAGAGTAGAGTAGGAGGGAATTTGAGAAAATGCTGACATTTGTAAGAAACAGACCTGCTTTGTGGGAGCCACAATACAGTTGTGAGTAATTCCCTCTGTTAAATCTCAGAACAGGTCTGCGAAGCTTCATGTTAACAAGGCTGAAACTAATGATAGCCATAAAAGAAAATCTTTCCCTCTTTCTCTCCTTTTTGCTTTCCTAGAGGTAGATGGTGTACCAGCTAAATCTGTAAATGCTTTTCTTTCAGATGCTAAAGAAGGAAGAAGCAATCCCATGGCCAGGAACTTTAGCAATTGTTCATTCATATATTGCATATAAAGCAGGTAGGAAAATGGGGAACGATACTTTCATTTCACTTTTTATTGTGGAAGATGTTCTTTCAGGAATGGGATAGAATGGTACTTCCTTTACAAAAGGAAATAAAAAGGGAGGAACCTTAATCACTAGTGAGCTGAAAATAGCAGTCTAAATATTTGTGAAGCTTTCTGTGATGCTTGAGTATGTAGGTGAAATTTTGGGTGTGATTTAGTGCACAAGTTCTTGAATTGACTTTAAACACAATTACCCTCTTTACATGAGCCAGTTTAGAGCCTCTGTCCACTGTTGTAACAGGAACAGTTTAAATATTCTGATTAATACTCTGTTTTGTAGCAAAAGAAGAGGAAAAACAGAAACTACTTAAATGGAGTTCAGATTTAAAACAGGAAAGAGAACAACTAGAGCAGAAGGTCAAACAGCTCAGCAATTCTATAACGGTGAGTATTGTCCTCCCAAATAGCTCTGCACCTGTGTCCTGGTGCCAGAATGCAGAGAGAAAAGTGTAGAGCGAGTCCATATACTAGACCTGTCTTCCACTGGATTTACTGAGAATTGGGTGAGCATTTTCCTTTGTTTTTTAGGACCTTGGGGACCAGGAATGAAATACAGGCAACATATACTTAGATTGAGTCACTTACACGTGATCCGTGCTGATGTATATTGTAGATGCGTGGTGACCTGTCATATCAGCAGGTGACAAACATGACCCAGAGCATTATTGTCTGTGGGCAGTAGATGAAGTCAGCTTCTCCAGCGGTTCACTTAAATATGAATCGTTGGGCCTCGGTGTCTAATAACAGTTACAGTCTTGGTGCGCTTTCCAGACCTTCGTAATACAAAAGTCACCATTTACTCATGACTGGCTCTCGGGCTCTTGACATGTCAGCAGCTGGATACTGTGCATGCCTTTGCGTAATTATTTAGACGATGTCATACTTCTAACCAGAAGCTGTAGTTTCCACCTTAGTTTATTGCAGTAATTGGAGCATACATATTAATTTGCTCTCTCTTCTCACTTGAATTTGTAAATCAGGCTCTTAATTGGCAGTGTAAAGTTTGAGCCCTTCATTTAGTGTAGCCATAGTCAGTAACACAGAATGAAAAATACTGAAATCTCTTGTAAGGCTGGATACATAAGTACAGACTTTTCTTTTTAAATACAAATGCACTTTCCAGTTTGTCTGTCTTTACCTATTAGAGCAAAAGTAAGTGTCCCATGTTTATAGACCCCTAAATGCCGAGGATACAACTGAAACAATTGTGAGCAAACAGGTGGAGAGAGGTGCTGGTTAGCAGTTTGGGAGACTGTCATCTTGTGCTTAGCAGTAGGTGGGCATAACCTGAGCAGCACTAGAGCACTAACACTGTTTCTCAGCGATGTACCCAGGCAGATGCAAGCCTTTAACATGAGGGATTGACAGTAGATGAGGAGAATGGTTTATTTTCTATGATCAAGTCATCGTTTATACTTTCATTGGAACTGTCTAAACAAGACACATTAGATCTAAATTTTGTGGTGTTCTTGTGATGCCATGAGCTGCGTATGAAAGTAGTAAAGCTGAAACCAAGGTTGCCATCTTCATGCAAGAAACTGAATGCTACAGACATAAAATAGCTACCATCTCCTTTTTCAGAGTTTCAAACATAGATATAAGCAGTTTTTCACCCTTGAAACATCATTTGTGGGCTCTTTTTAAAGTTATCTTACCCTGACTTGTAACTGATGAGCTAGCTAGGTTACTGCCGCTTCTAAGAGAAAGAAATAGCTACAAAATAAAATTTTCCAGTGAAGAAGGGCTTGTTTTTCAAGTGCTCCTTTATTACTTGAGAGGAGGAAGTGATGTTCCTGCTAAAATGTATGCGAAAGCAAAGGCTGTATCCCATTAGCGGCACGCACACAGGCTGTCAGCAGTCAGCTGCAGTAGGATGCTTGAGTTTGCAGATCTGAGGTAAAGAAATTTCAGCAATGCAATCCTAATAGAAAAATAATAAGAACATATACTTGGAAGTTTCCCTTCAAAAGGAACACAAAAGGATGAAGCTGTCTGTGTGGATTTGCAGAACACCTTGAGATGAAAGGGGGCCATAGCAGGTGATGGCTACGTACTGGCAATTTAATTCCTTAGCCTGCAAATATGAATTCTCCTGTGAACACAGTCCTGAGACTCTTTTTCTTCTAGGCTGGGAAAGTGGAACTGTAGCAGCAGTCTTTTCTACGTGCTTACATTTAGATCTGTGAACATCGTATTCCTTCTCTTGCCTTCTTTTGTTCATTCATAAGCTTGAACTTATTACCGCTTTTCTGTTTTGCTGCAGAAATGCATGGAAATGAAGAATACCATCCTTGCAAAACAGAAGGAGATGCACAGCTCCTTGGAGAAGGTAAAACAGCTGATCCGCCTCATCCAAGGCATCGACCTTTCAAAACCCATAAACTCTGAGGTCAATTCAGTAGCCATCTCCAATGGCATGGACTCCACTAACAATACTAATGCTGCCACCTCCACCTTAGCCCCCTCCCCTTCCCAGAGCTGCATGGTGAACTGTAACAAGGGCGATGAGACTAAATAACACAGTGAAGTTAAGAAGGAGCAAGGGAGGTGGCGGCGAGGAGGAAGAGCAAAATAATGAAACTCTATTAAAGCAAAACCGGATTTCTTCTGGAAAGTGCAGAATTCTTTAGTTCTTTGGTTCCAGAGAGAGCGTGAAGATGCTTGTGCCAGGCGGCACCGGAGTTTGCCAATTGATCCTTCTTATTCTGTGTGTACATGCAAAGTTTGGATCATGTTACATGAATAGTGCCAGCTGGGGGTTCTTTGCCAGCACCATGCCAAGTGAAATAATATATTTACTCTCTCTATATTTTACACCAGTGTGTGCCTGCAGCAGCCTCCACAGCCACTATAGGTTTGTTTTATTTTTGTTTGGGGTGAGGAGCAGGGATGAGGGAGGAGAGCAGGTTTCAAATCCTTATTTGCAGAACAGTTTGTTTAGCTAGGGGAAAACAAAAACAAGTCCAAAGAGCCTGTGGGCTTTTCCTGTTTCTAAACTCTCAGTACTATTAAACCAAAAAACCAGAAATATAAATTATCAAATCCCAGTGCCCAGAAGGGACAAGTCTATCAAATAAGCAGTATTTACTATTGTTTAGACAGGAGATGTACAAAAGGAAAGGAGATGGACTTTTCACTGAGTAACCAGCACATGTACAGGCTGAGGATCTACTGTCCCAACAGCTTTCGGTTAATCCTATTTCTTCACATTAAACAACTGACATGCTTTGTAGAATTGGTTTGGGTCCTCACACTCATCCAGAAAGCCTGTGTTGGGAATGGGAAAATAGAGGGCCAGAATCCAGGGTCAGCTTGGAGCGTTAGACGGAGGTGTCCCAAGGGAAAATGTGCATCGATTACTTGAAAATGAGATTCCAACCCTTTTCTATATTTATAAACAACAAAGGTATCCTGAACAAAGTAGCACATGACCCAGATGTGTGAACTGAACAGAGAAATGTCCTTTTCTTTCAACTTCCTTTCTCTTCTTTTGGTAACAAGAACTAAATAAGGAATAGAAAAGCTGTTTTTCAGGCTGACAGTCTAATTAAAGAGGTAGATGGGACCTTGCATGGTATAGATTAGAAGTAATAGTGTCAGTGAGATACAGTGAGTCTTTGTGAGTCCTTGTGTCATCGTTTTGGGCACTGTTTTTTTATGCAAGGGCAAAATCTTTGTATCTGGGGGAAAAAAAACAACTTTTTTAAATTAAAAAGGAAAATAAAAGATATTGAGGTCTTCCTAGTGTTACTTAAAATAAGATCAAGGTAAGAAACATTGTAAAAAAAATTACAAAAGTGCTATTTGTTTCCTAAACAAGTGATTTCTATTAAAAAGGTGTCAGAACTGGAGAAAATGCTGTGTACTTAGAATTTTTTAACACAGACTTTGCTTATTTATGATGACATTCTGCTGTGTTTGTGTTTTAAAATCCAATGGGACAGTTTCCATAGATTATACCATACATGCTACTGGCTAAACTCTAAAGAGAATCGAATCCTACAGTGCTGGATCTCACCCCACCTGGAGGATCTGCCAGGCTTGTCTCTGCTGTTACCATATCTCCCCCATTCTTTCACGTGTTTGTAACCCAGAGAAAAGCAATTGGCAACGCGCTTGTTTAAGGCTTTTGTAGTTTTCTGATACGGACTGATTAGAGCTTGAGAATGAAAGACAGTGAGTTGGTTGGACTGAAATCGCCTTCTGGTATATCCTCTTGTTTAAGAAGTTCATCTCTTATGTAAAATCTTTTCACTCTAGATAGCAAAGCTTGCCTCGTGCTTCCTCTTAGTGTGGGGTCTGTCTCAGCTTAGAGTGCTGATTCTGGTCGCTTACGGTTGTGTCCCAGAGCTGCCTAGTTTCACTACTGCGTATAAACATTTGGGCAAACCCCGTTTCCGCTGGAAGTACTGGGAAAACTCGCTTTACTTCCGGTGGGAGCACAGTTGAGCGACTACACACACAACGTGAGGCAGAGTCCCTGGTGTGGTGCCCTTGAGAGCACGCACTGGGTGGCGAGGCAGACCTGCTCAGCTGTTTCCAGTGGAAGAGAGAAAAGCTTTGGATTTCAAGAATGCATTTCAGAGCAAGAAGTGAATACTCAAGACACTACATAGCCTGAGAGAGTCTCTTTGCTGCCACAGCCAAGTATGCTTCTGCAGGATTCTTGGAGCTGTTTTCCTCCTTCTCCTTTAGGTTGCCCTTCTGACCTTTAAGGACTTTTATTCCTTCTATAGGAGTGTGCACTATTTTCAGCTCTGAGCTCAGAACTGATATCCCGAGTTCTCACATTTGTCTGTAGTTGGGAAAGTGACTCTTACGTGCACTTCTCAGCTGAACCTGTGATAACCTTGGCTCTGTCTTTTGATGCTTGAGTTCTGTTCTGGAACTAGCAGAGCTGGAAGCATAAGTTAGCACAAGTGGCAGGGAGACAGCTGGGCAGACGACGCCAAAACTGATCAAACTAAAAATGTCCTTGCATCAACCCAGTTACCAGTGGGGTCATTACCATAGGGTAGCACTGAGCCAGCAACCCATAGCATTTAAACAAAGGACTTTGTATTTCAAGGGATGAAGAGAAAAAAACAAAACTTAACATGAGCCCTCTTTCTTTAGAATATGAGCCTGCAGCTAATGGCCAGATACTCAGGTGAAACTGCCTTTTTGGCCAGATTGTTTTCTAGTTGGCCACTTGGGTAATTCTTCACATCATCTTCTGAAGCATCAATTATAGTCCTGGTAAGAGACGATCTTGTAAGGATAGGTGCGCTGAGGCTTCATGGTTCTTATGTTCTGATTTCTGGTGTTATCTTCTGAGCTCTCTTGGAAGCACTGTGCTATTTGGGGGTAGCAAGCTATGCCTGAAGACTTGATAGTCCTTCTGTTTTCTTTGCCAATTCAGGAGGGGATGGAAGTGAAATTCACTGGTAGCCGTATTTAAATTTGAGCGTGGTTAACCAGCCAGGGGATGTTAAAACAGCTATTACTGCTTTTCTGAGGTATCTGCTTGTCTCCAGAAGCCGAGTAGATAAGTATAGACTTTTATGTCCCTTTTGTTACAGCATTTGTGTTCCAGACTGTAAAAAGACGCCTTTAGTTAATCATTACCTGGCAGAGAAATGATCTTAACTTAGACTTTTTGATGCTGCTAGGTAGTTTTCTCTCTCGCTGATCTTGTTTGGATGCTTTCCCTCCTGGCTCTGCAGCAGTATTCGTCAATAGGCAAGGAGCATTCCCAGGGCTGCACTGACACTGGCAATGATGCTGCTACACATACACAAGTAAATTGGGGTTATCTCTGCCCAATTAGACACACAATAGGGTGGAAGGGGAATTGGCATTTGCTAAATACAGAGGAAAATGTTTTTTTTTCTAGCTGCTCTAAGAGGTTCCAATCAAGGGAGAAATTTAAACTCTTTGACAGCTTAAAGCTCAAGCTTGTCTTCTGGGTTTGGATGGTTGGGGTTTTTTTCTCATGTGATACTTGAGATAGAGTGAGTTTGTACTAAAACTTCTGCTCTTTGGGAAGCTGTCATAATGACTGGTGGTTTGTATTTCCAAACCACCATCGAGATATTAACCAATTCTTATGTCATTGCTTGTCATTGCGGGGAAATAAGTGGCTTTTAAATCTCTGTTACAAAGAAGGAGATGAGACCACAGAGGAAGCTCCTATCAGAGACGGTCCTGGCTCTCAGCCCAGTGCTAAGGGCTTTAAGAAGTCACCCTGCTTCCTTGCTCAGAAATAGAGTAAGCATTGCAGAAGTAGGTTTTTTCCCCTTCTCCTTGCAATCTGTTCTTTAAACAGCTGGAAAGGTGCGTTGTGGTCAGAGTGGGAAAGCAAGCATGTGACCTGGCCAGAATTAGCATTATCATTAATATTCTCATTATCTTCGTTTAGAGCCAGCAGTGGTTTTAGTGCTGTACAAAATGTGGCAAAGGCAATACTTCTAGGGATGACTGGCAGGTAGGGTGAGTAGCATGGGTGGTTCTTCAAGGACATTGATAGCCAGGAGTTACCATGTTGGTAGGATGAACTAATGGTTTGCATGAGCAAAGCAAGGACTTTGTTGCAAGTAAGTTTCTGTCAGTGGGGATATGAATTAAAAGCTGCTAATCTAGAAATTAAAGAGGTGATAATTTTATGGGCAAATTTCTTGGTTTTGTTGTTGGTAGAAAAAACAATATTGTATTTTATCCTTCCTAGCTGACCAGGCTTAAGAAAGCACATCTGTATCCCAGCTGTCTAGAAATGTGAACCTTAATTCTGACCTCCTTGGCTTCAAATCATCTTCTTCCCTGTACTGTTGCAGAGACAGCCCTGAAAAGCATCAGCATCAGCATTCGGGAGGACCCAGAGTGAAATATCCCTCTTAGCCCCACCAAGCTGTGGCAGCCTACAATACAGGGAGTAAACTCTGAAATTTACTTCCCACGTGGATACAGTGGAAAGTGTTCATGAATTTGCAATGCACGTATTTTCTCTTTCTTTTTTTCCCCAGCTGGGTTGCACCCTGCCCTTTTTGCTTCTGAAGCACTAATGATGAATACATATTTTTTAATGAAACATGTTTTTAAAATATCATATTTAGTTGTTAAACCAAAATTCACTCTTTTACTGAGGGCCTCGCTCGGTGAGCTGCTCAGATAACCACTGAAATACCAATATTACACTTCCTTGCGGACCATGCCCCTTTGGGCAGAATTTGTTGTGTCTTTTCAGAACTGTTTTTGACCCTTCTTCACCTCGATTTGTCCTCCTTTGGGATTTTGAAGATCCAGGGCATGTTCAGCCTTGCTGGGTTACTGCAGAGAGTTTTCTGACAAGTGTGTAGAAACTCTTCAGAAGAGTCAGGAACCTGGAGAAAGAGGAAGATGTTTTGTCATGCAGCTAGTTCTTCATTTGGCGCTTAGGCTTGCCTGGCCAACAAACTACCTCAGCAAAGGCCGTTCCCAAGCACTATGTGGATTCTGTAGTTTCTGGCATTCAGAAGGCAAAAGGTCTTCAAAGAATCCCTCCAACAGCCAGCTAGGTACTGGTCTCTGAGGGCATGCGAGCGAGCCTCGCAGCAACATGCTGTTGGATCCTTGTTGTCAGTGGTCAGACCTGGACCAGGGAATGCCTTAAAAATCAGGTGGGATTAGGAAAACACAAGAGTTGCAGACGTCTTGTCTCCAGGTTATTGCCTTCCTTCTTTAAGCCTCAGTCCTGTTTGTAACACGTACAGAATGGAATGTAATACTTGAAAAATATGACTCTCTCTGTCGTTTACCTTTAGCTCCCATTTTCCCCATGTTTATCTTTTATCTGGGACAAGAACTTTCTGCATCATTGTGTCTTGTATAGGCTGAGCACATAGTTGAAACTTGCCAATAAAGAAAATTATTTATACCATGCACTGGTAAGCTTGGTAATTATAGACCCATAAAAAGACAAACACCTCTCCTAGAGGTTAATTTAATATGTGGGCTTGTTTCAGAAAACCAAGACCTTACCTGTGTGAGGATCTGTCAGTATTACTAAATTACCTGAGTAGAGAGAATGGAAAACAGGCCTCACCAAGAGTGTTGGTGCTGTGAAAATCGCTGTGCTGCGCTGGAGTGCCACACAAGACCAGTGGGGCCAGGGCTTGGGTGCCAGAGTTGGGTGCTGCAGGGACAAAGGGAAGGACAGAAGCCTCTTTGGAGACCCAGGGGCAGTGACAAGGGGTGCAGGGCTGGAGACAGGGGAAAGGAAGAAGGGAAGCAGGAGGAGCAAAAGAAAGGAAGATTATGTGGGGTAAAGCAGAGCAGAGAGAACTGGAAAGAGATGAGAAGGAAGGAAAGTGAGGGTAGGAAAAATCCAGGAGCAAAATAGGGCTCCATTGTGAGGAGGTAGGTATCCTTGCAGTTACAGGGTTTGAAAGAACAATGGAAAGACTAGAACGAAAAGGCTCTTTATCCCACCTTGGATAGAGATTTCTGACTTGGGTTGATCTGTATTCCACAAGGACCACATTTGGTGGGAGACAAGAGCTTCTTGGCTGCAGATGGGGAAGGAAGCGGGCACTAAGTCATCCCTAGCTCTGCTTCTGCTGCCAGGTCATCCCATCCTTTGACTTCTGTGCTACATCATGGGACAAGGCAGATCAAGCAGACCTTGGGGCATCCAGAGCCTGCTTTAATCTGGACTGAATTAATTAAAAATTTCCCTGGCTAGAAATATTCCCGGGACTAGCCAAAGGTTCACCTTGCCAGTGTGGTTGCACCTTCCTAGTTCAAGTGTCATGATCAGCCTAGTTGAAACCAATGTCAGGCGGAGGAGATGATGCCGGGCAGGACCTGTGAGGCACGTACTTCACAGCTTTCTTTTGGAGTATCTGTGCAAGGTCCCTGTTCTCTGGGCCATCACATCTGGCAGTTCTGTGCCAAAACCTCTCTGTGCAGCAATGTCTCCCTGTTTTCTTAGGTTCTGGTTTATTTAGAGACACGTGTAAAAAAAAAAAAGCAGTTCACCAGAGCAGCTAGACAGGAGCATGTGGTTAGTTTAACGTAACCCTTCAGGAGCTGAGCCTGGGGAGCCGGGCTGAGGGCCTGCCTCAAGGCTACATTGAGCAGCAGCCCATGGGATGCCCTCCTGGGAGAACGGCTGTGCCGGCTCCAGTGTGTTAGCAGGGTGGTAAGCTCTCTGTGTCTGTTCTTTGTCACTCCATAGTATCCAAGCAGGTGTCAAATGCTTCAGAGAAACTCAGCCCAGTCCACATCTAGGAAGGAAGAAGTACTTAAGAGCATGTTTACTATTGGGAGGGCCCAGGGAACTCAAAAGCCTTGTAAGCTTGGCTCTGTCTGTCCAGGGTGGAGAGGTGGCTCGGGACGGCAGGAGCAGAAAGCAGTGAGCAGTGACCGGTATGAGTCTGCTGGCACCCAGCAGGCTTTTCACCACCTGGAGAATTTCCATCTTTTTTCTTTCTCCTAAATTTACACTGGAAAACGTAGACCTCGACCAATTCCTGCCCTTTCGTCGCCTGCCTTCTTTTATCTGTGGTGTTGGAAAAGAAATGAAGTATTGTTGCCTCTGAGCTTGGAGAAAGCACTTTTCTTAGCAATCAGAATGGCCTTGGGGGTGTAGCTCAGGCGGGGAAGGGAGGCAGTGTCTTACGCAGGTCCAGCACTGGCAGTGGCCGGCTCCCAGCGCTGTGTTCAGTGGCCACCCTTGATTTTGGATCCCCAGCGCCGAAGGTTGATACCGCAGCAGCGCTGGGAAGATGCTGTGCCCGTGCAAGCAAAGGCAGGGGCTCCCCTTGCTCGTTACCCTGATCTATCAGGCGGGGCATGCCAAAATTAAGCGGGGGGGATGGCACTTGTTTAAAAGCGAAAGGAAGAATCCCTCTGTGCCTCACATCCCCTCTGTAAAGCGGGTACCGGCCATTCTGACACTGCAAGAGCTGTTTTTCATGGGCTGCAGGCACTGTTGAAAAAAGAGGTACAGTCGCACTCCGTGCTGGCTGCATGTTTCTGCTTGTTCTGGGCTAATGTGGAATTTTTAATCATAGTCTCATATGTTTCTTTTACTTTAATTATCACTGGCATCAAAGCAGTGATTGACTCTAGAGCCAGGAGTAGCGTCTTACCATCAGCTCTCCCTTCCAGAAGGTATGTTGTCTCTGAGTCATTCCTGATGCCATCTGTGACAGGCAGCCAAGACCCTCCATAAGGAGGGTTTTTGCTACCGCACAAACTCCCGAGGCTCGGGCAGCTTCCTGGCGGCCCCATGCAACCAGAGCCAACAGGCAGTCGTGCCCCATGGGCTGCTTCACTCATTACAGCTGCAGGGCCCCCCCCAGGCACCCTCTTGGCCACCTCTTATGGTCCCACAGAAGCAAAGCACGGGTTGGTGTTCCAAACTCCATTAAGCAAAGATGAAGCAAGGTAACTGGGGGGGCATGGCTGGCACCAACCTATTCAGGCTTCTGCGGAGGAAGGAAACAACTTTGCTGCGTCAACAGCAGTGGAACCCGTGGCGCAGAGAAGTGGTGGTGAGCTGCTGCTTGGCTGGGAGGTCTGGTGCAGCAGTGGGGTGGCTTCCCATGTGGTGTTTTGTCTTTTGGGGGGCTGACTGGCTCCAATCTGCAAACACCCACCTTGTCGTCCGCAGCTGATAGGCGGGTTGCAAAGGCAGCTCTGCTTGTATAGAGAAACTACTCAGGCCTCGATCACAGCTTCACGTTCCTGCGATCGTGCCGGCACCATCTCAGTAGAGTTGTCGATGCCACCACCCCACCTGTGTGCCATGCTTCGTCCCATACCCCCAGCGCGTTACAGAGACCAAGCTGTAAAGCAGGCGTCCTGGCTTGGGGTTGGACCAGGAGGTGACGCTGAAGGGTGCCGTGTCTGAACCCCGGTCCCTCCCCAGCCCGCCCGACTTTCTCCAGGTGCTTTTGGTCAAGAGCCCCCAGTTCTGGTGGCGCAGCCCCCCATGGCTGCAGGCCTGGCGCTGCCAAGGAACGGCGGCAGCTTCTCTCCCAGCTGGGTTTCTGCACAGCAAAGCCATGACTCTGCCCTCCATGAGCCGGTGCCACCTGTGCTGCCCCTCTTCCTGCCAATCTCCCGTCCTTGCAGGCCCTGGTGTAAAATGCCCTTTCTGACCGGTACCACTCTATTGTCACAGAATCACATCATGAGAACACCAACTCATGAGCTGGTTTGGGTTTTTTAAATATCTCTATTTTTTTTAGCCTGATGCTCATAGTGATCTGCAGTCTCTTTGCTGCCTTCAAGTCCCTTGTGGTTTCAGTTTTGGTACAAATGTGTTTAGATTTTAGCAAATTAAAGTTGGGGAGGGAGGGGGTACAGAGCATCTGATCAATTTGTATTTATTTATTTTAACATTTTACTAAATAAAACACAATAAAATCTCTCGTCTCCTTAGCTGTATGTACCAGGTGGGGACAGCCGGTCCCACAGGCACAGGGGATGGCATGGTGCCCGCAGAAAGTCCCCAGCTCTGTGAGAGGTTTCCAAGCGTGGCTCTCCACAATGGCTCGAGGCTTGCTTTCTTGGCAGGGAGAAGGGTGCTGCGTTAGTAGAAATGAATTTTAGCTCTAAAAGGAGCTGCGCTCAGTTAAGAAAATCTCCGCAGGCTCTGACTCAGTGGTTGCCTTCAGCTGATGCCGCCTGGCAGAGGGCACGTGGAGATGAAACCCGAGCCAGGTTTACTCCAGGTACCTAAAGCCTTGTAGGCACATTTTGGGCTAAGGACTGGCTAGGCTAGGAAGGATTACCTGAAAATGATGGCACACGGTCCTCCTGGTATAGGCACAGCAGTACACCTCCCAAAAAACTGCAGAGCCCGCATTTCTGTAGCCATCTAACTAGCAAACAAATACCCAGAAGAGGCCTGCTCCATCCTGGCACTGCTCCACCACTGTGTCTGTAGCACAGAGCCGGCTAAACTACTGTCTAGATCTGATCTAAACCTGTGGTGTCGCTTAACGTGGAAGCAGAGCGATACCAGCGAGCTTTAGCTGTATTAAAAGCTGTCTGCTAGGGACTGGGTGGGTGGAGCTGTGCCCGGCTTCACAGTCACCAGCACTGTCTTTCCAGCCCTTTCCCAAAAAAAAAGCCTCAACAGCTTGTACCACCCCGCTGCAGCGGCAGGAAACCGGGGGCATGATCACACCGCCGACCCACAGAGCTGGCAGGGGATGGGCGCACGTGCCGCTTGGTGACATGGGCATTTCTTTTGCCTGCTGTTGTTCCCTGCTCCCCAACCCTCCTGCTGTGCCAGCCAGAAAGGGCAAAGGCTTCAAACACACCCAGCAGAGCAAGCCCAGTGATGCTTTTCCCCGGGTGAGGCTCAGGCTACCCCTGCATTGCTCTCCTCCTGCTGATTTCCCTCCAGGGAACACATGCAAGCTCGCAGCAGAAAAAAATTAATAACCAGGCAGTTCTAACAAGGATGTGAAAAAGAATAAAAAAGCTTTAATTTAAAAATTAAATTAAAAAGAGAGAATAAGCAAGAGGCGCTTGTGCCCTTTCCATACCCCGCGCTTCATATGGCTCCTCCTAGCTGCTCCCACCACGGACGGAAATCCTCACACCTGCACAGAGCTGGCTCTTGCAGCCCAGAGTAATGCTAAGGAGAGAACAGCGGAGACTGCAGCAGCAACTGGCCTGGAGAGCCTCCAGGGCCACCAGCAAAATCACCCGGGAGGAAGAAAGGATTAAAAACAAAACAAAACAAACCAAAAAAAAAACCAAGACACCCTTATCATTTAATTCTTATGAGAAAAGTATTAAATAATTTAAATAGCGTGAGGAAAGCAATGCATCCTCTGTGCTCCAGTGTGTGATAGCAGTGGAATAGTGCCTGGCCAAGCTGTTCCCAGTGCGGGGACCCTGCCACAGTGCTCAGCTACGGTCTTCTCCAGTGTCAACCACATCCCTGACTGCGGATGGCAACATCTGCGCTGCCAAGAGCTGGGGACGAGCAGGGTGGTCCCCTGCCAGGAATTTCTCCAAGCATGTGCTGGCCCACGAAGCTGCTGCTTTGCCCATCGTGATGGCTGCCAGGCATGGTCTGCAGCCCTGCCAGCCCCAGGACAGGGCTAGTTACCAGCACGGTTGTGTCTAGCCGGGATGTTCTGGGAGCTCACTGCTGGAGACAGCAGACAGCCCGTCCTGCTCTGGGTGACTCCCACACCACCAGTACTGGACCAACCCCACTGGAGACTTTGCATCCATAGGGATGGGGAGGGACAATATTTCGCCCTGTTAACCGGCCAGCCTCGGTCCGGGCTTGAACCAGGTCTCCACTTCTCCTGGTGCTCCCTGGCCCCACCTCCCAGGGTGCTGGGAGGCTTTCTCTGAGCCTGGCACCACACAGGATGCAAAAGGATGCTCTACATCCTCATCTCCCACTCACCAAAGCCCCGATGGCGTGTGCGGAGGACTGAGACCTGGGACCAGAGAGCAGAGGCAGAGCAGGGTAAGGTACAGCTCCCAGGCCTCTCGAGGGGCCAGGCCTCCAGGTGAGGTGAGCTAACGAAAGCTGAGAATCCAAATCTGCTAAAATAGGGGAGGGAGGAGACCCATCCCACTGGCCCCTGGCACAGGGGGGTTCCCCTGTAACAGGAAGGCTGCTGCTCTGAAAAAAACTCTCGGCCATGCCGCAGCAGCTTGACCTGCAGGCACTGCCCGTTCTTGCAGCTGGCATCTTCCATCTTAGCTACGGGCATCCCATGGCTGGGGTGGAGAGGCTCTGCTGCTGGCTCGGTTCCCTCAGGCCAGGCTGCAGCGGTGGGCCGGGGCAGGAGGGATCCGCTAGCACCCTGCACCCGCTGTCTCTGGGCATCACAGGCTCCTCTCGGCGGTGAGGTATTTGAGTGCGGCAGCCCCATAGCGCCGCGACAGGTCTTGGTGGAACTCCTCCCGCAGCGTCTGGAGGCAGCCCCGGTACCCCGCGCTCAGGCGGAACTTGGAGATGTCGAAGCTGGGGGCGAGGGGGACGTGGGTCTGTGTCCGCGGGGGTGAAGACCAGCAGCCCCTGCCATCAGTGTCGGTTGGGTGGTACCAACACTTCACCACCTGGCCAACACCCCCCAAGACCCGGCACCTCCACGGTGCCAGGAGCAGCCCCACACCCACCTGCGCATCCAGCTCCATGATGTGGGACACCTTGTTCCAGCCGAAGCCCACGAACCTCTGGTCGTACTTGGGGCAGTCTCGCCTCACTACAACGTAAGGCTCGAAGTCTGGCTGCCACGCCACGCGGGATGGCACCGTGGCCGGCCCCCCC